AAGTAATATTTACACACAATGTGGGGCTCAAACTCATGACCCCGAGATCAGTTGTCGCATGCTCCTCCAAATGAGCCAGCCAGGTGCCCCACTTATTTGTTTCTTTGGATCTAAAATGAGTCTCTTGCGGGGCGCCTGGGTAGCTCAGTTGCTTGGGCGACTGCCTTCGGCTCAGGTCATGATCCTGGAGTCCCGGGATCGAGTCCCGCATCGGGCTCCCTGCTTGGCAGGGGGTCTGCTTCTCCCTCTGACCATCTTCCCTCTCGTGCTATCTCTCATTCTCTCTCTCAAATAAATAAATAAATAAATCTTTAAAGAAAAAAATAAATAAAATGAGTCTCTTGCAGAAAGCCTATAGTTAGATCATTTTTTAAAATCCATTCTGCCATGGGTTAGCCTGGTGGTGGGTATTGAGGAGGGCACATTCTGCATGGAGCACTGGGTGTTGTGCACAAACAATGAATCATGGAACACTTCATCTAAAACTAATGATGTAATGTATGGGGATTAACATAAGAATAAAAAAATATATAAAAAAAAAATCCATTCTGCCAATCTCTGCCTAAGTCTGTGACTTAGGATGATTCGACTTAAAAGTTTTTTATTTTATTTATTTTATTTTTATTTTATTTTATTTTATTTATTATTTTTAAAGATTTTATTTATTTATTTGACAGAGAGAGAAAGAGCGCGCGAGTGCACGCACAAGCAGGGGGAGTGGCAGAGGGAGAGGGAGAAGCAGGTTCCCCACTGAGCAGGGAGCCCAACGCGGGGCTCGATCCCAGGACCCTGGGATCATGACCTGAGTCGAAGGCAGATGCTTAACCCACTGAGCCACACAGGTGCCCCAAGTTTTTTTATTTTACAATGGTGCAAAAGTGATACGTATTCAGTAAAAACTGTACATTGAATTTTGATCTTTTCCTAGGCTAGTGATATTCAGTGTAGTACTCTTGCAGTGAGCCACAGCTTTCAATCAGCCATGCAATCATGAGGGTAAACAAGCAATACGCTTACAGCCATTCTGTACCTATATAACCATTCTATTTTTCACTTTTAGTACAGTATTCAGTAAATTATATGAGAGATTTGGTGCTTTATTATAAAATAGGCTTTGTGTTAGATGGCGCCCTTAATTTTTTTTTAATTGGAGCCCAGCATGGGGCTTCAACTCATGACCCGGAGATCAAGACCTGAGCTGAGACCAGTAGTCGGGCGCTCAGCCAACTGAGCCACTCAGACACCTGGAAATGTCTTAATTTCTGCTTTATTTTCGAAGAATGCTTTTGCCAGATACACAATTTTTGGTTGTGACAGTATTTTCTCTGTCAACAATTTGTATGTATCATCCTATCACTTTCTGGCCTTTGGGAACCACTGAATGAATGTGTAAATGAATAAATACACACATACACACACACATGATCTGATTCTTCTTACCTCTTAATTGGTATGCTGGTAAATGTTTAGTGACTGGCTTTCCAGGAAAAAAAGTGTATGCACATATATACGTACATAAGTTTATTATAAAGTTGCTGATATAAAAGATGTATAGCACACCATTTACAAATAATAATAAAACATGTGATACTTTTTATTGTAAATTTGTGTAGCCAACTGGGTCTTATAGAAAGCTTTCATTGATTTGGTTTTTTTGTTGAGGTTAATTTCACATAAGATAATTCACCGTTTATTTGAGATTTAAGATTCCGTTTATTTGAGGGTGCCTGGGTGGCTCAGTTGTTAAGCGTCTGCCTTTGGCTCAGGTCATGATCGCAGGGTCCAGGGATCGAGTCCCACATCAGGCTCCCTGCTCCGCGGGGAGCCTGCTTCTCCCTCTCCCACTCCCCCTGCTTGTGTTCCCTCTCTCGCTGTGTCTCTGTCTGTCAAATAAATAAAATCTTAAAAAAAAAAAGATTCCATTTATTTGAGAGAGAGAGAGCACATGCACATGCACACAAGTGGGAGGGGAAGGGAGAGGGAGAAGCAGACTTCCTGCTGAGCAGGGAACCGGACTGAATGGTGGCTTGGCTCAATCCCAGGACCCCGAGATTACGACCTGAGCCAAAGGCAGACTCTTAACCGAGTGAGCCACCCAGGCGCCTCCAAGATTTACCATTTAAAAGCGAACAATTCAGGGGTGCCTGGGTGGCTCAGTGTGGTTAAGCATCTGCCTTCAGCTCGCGTCATGATCCCAGAGTCCTGAGATCAAGTCCTGCATCGGGCTCCCTGCTTGGTGGGGAGTCTGCTTCTCCCTCTCCTCCCCCTGCTGTGCTCTCTCTGTCAAATAAATAAATAAAATCTTTAAAAAAAAAAAACTTAAACAATTCAGTACAATTAGTACATTTACAATGTTGATAATCACTACCTCTAGTTCCAAAATGCTTTTATCACCCTAAAAGGAAATTCATACCCTTTAAGGAGTTGCTCCCTTTTCTCCCTCCCTGCAAAGACCCTGGCAACCACCAATCTGTATTCTGTCTCTATGGATTTACTTATTTTGGATATTGCATATAAATGGAATCATATATGTGATCTTTTTGGTCTGGCTCTTTCACTTAGCATAATATGTTCAAAATTCATCTGCTTTGTAGCTTGTATCTGTACTTCATTCCTTTTTATGGTAGGATAATACTCTGTTGTATGTATACGTCAGTCTGTTTAATCCTTTCATCTGTTGATTTGGGCTGTTTCTACCTTTTGATTATTGTGAATTGTGGCTGCTATGAACATGTATGTACATACATTTGTTTTAGTACCATTTTTTAGTTCTTTGGTGCATGACCTAGAAGTGAAATTGCTGGGTCATGTGGTAATACTGTTTAATTTTTTGAGGAACCACTGAACTGTTTTTTCATAGTTGCTGAAGAGTTTTACATTCTTACCACCAGCATATGAGGTTTACCTTGATTTTAATTTTGCTAAACTTATGTATCCATATCTGACCTATGGCAAAATCATGCTACCAGTGAGCACTGGATTGCTGTCCAGTTCAAAAGAAGTTGCTCCTCTCGTGATGATCAAGTACTGTTTTAACATGAAGGCTGGTTGATATTTTTGTTTATGTTAACAAGTGTGATGAAAGTGAAACAACAAAGATGCGTTTGTTTTGTTTTGTTTTGTTTTTTTAATTTTTTTTTTTTTTTTTAAGATTTTATTTGCGAGAGAGAGAATGAGAGACAGAGAGCATGAGAGGGAGGAGGGTCAGAGGGAGAAGCAGACTCCCTGCTGAACAGGGAGCCTGATGTGGGACTCGATCCCGGGACTCCAGGATCATGACCTGAGCTGAAGGCAGTCGCTTAACCAACTGAGCCACCCACGCACCCAAAGGTGCATTTTTTTTAATTGAAGTATAATTGATGTACAATATCCTGTTTCAGTTGTACATCATAGTGACTTGATATTTTTACACATTATAAAAGAATCCGTACAATATGTCTAGTTACCGTGTGTCACCATACACAAACATATTTCCTTGTATGTGGTCTTTCTTTCCCTTCTAGAGGTCCTTATCCAGGACTCGGTTCTTCTGTTGCCTCCCGTTTCATTGATGCCTTCCCTTACATCTAGTCTAAGTTAGCCTTCCTCTACTTTATCACCTACATATTCATCATCATTTCACACAGTTTCACTTCTTCATAACTCCTATCATTATCAGAAATTACTCGTATTTGTTTGCATGTTAATTGTCCTTTACGCCACTAGAACATAAACTCCAAGAAAGCAGGGACCTTTTCTCTTGTTCCCTACTGCCTGCAACAGTGACTAACATATAGTAGGTATCAATAATGCTGAATGAAGGAATGAATAATAAAAGATGCAAAAATGGGTTACTTAGACATGGTGTCATCAAATTCTCTTCTTTAGCCTAATTCCTATTAGGTAGAAAAATAATCTTACAGGGTTTTTCTGGTTTATATCCAAATTCTGTTTGTTCTTGGATGTGAGGTTTATATATTACTCTGACGTCATTGTAGGAGCCATTATTTGGATTATATTAGAAATGCAACTCTCATGGGCGCCTGGGTGGCTCAGTCGTTAAGCATCTGCCTTTGGCTCAGGTCATGATCCCAGGGTCCTGGGATCGAGTACCACATCAGGCTCCCTGCTCGGCAGGAAGCCTGCTTCTCCCTCTCCCACTCCGCCTGCTTGTGTTCCTGCTCTCCCTATATCTCTCTCTGTCAAATAAATAAATAAAATCTTTAAAAAAAAAGAAATGGAACTGTCATGAAAATGTTTATCATCTGTAAGTGAACCTTCTTGATTGGAATTCAATCAGTTGCTGAATTCTATATTATAACAGATTCTGTAATGATCAGTTGCCTTATAGTATATTTAAAATTAAGGAAGAAAAGTATACCAAGATTTTGAAGTTTTTGAAGAAGATATAATAATTTAATATTTGAAGAGTTTTTTAAAACATAAAAATCTTAGGGGCGCCTGGGTGGCTCAGTCGTTAAGCATCTGCCTTTGGCTCAGGTCATGATCCCAGGGTCCTGGGATCGAGTACCACATCAGGCTCCCTGCTCGGCAGGAAGCCTGCTTCTCCCTCTCCCACTCCCCCTGCTTGTGTTCCTGCTCTCATTATCTCTCTCTCTCTCAAATAAATAAATAAAATCTTTAAATAAAAAAAACATAAAAATCTTGAAGGTAAAATTGAAATATTGAAGAATTTGTTTTACTAAGACTTCAGAAGTGCTTTTTATCAGTGTAAAATGCCTCTGTAAAGATTGTGTATAGTGGTAAATTATAAGAAAATTCTAATTGCTTCTTTATGTTGAATTACTGTTTAAAGTTGATAAATTATCAAACGAGTACATTTTAACTTTTGGTGATTAATGCAGAAAGCTTTGGGTGAATAGATTTATTTTGGAGAGTTAGAAATATAACTCTGGATTTTAAGGATTTTTTTTTCCTGGAATGAACATGCTTTTGGGATGTCATTTTTTTAATTTTATTTTTAATACCAAACCTAATATCATTATCTCTTCTGTATTTAGGTTCGATTAGTGATAGTGGATGGTATTGCTTTTCCTTTTCGTCATGACCTAGATGACCTGTCCCTTCGTACTCGATTACTAAATGGCCTAGCCCAGCAAATGATCAGCCTTGCAAATAGCCACAGATTAGCTGTAAGTATTATTAGCCAAGAGAATTTTATAATAAAGTCAAACTTGTATAAAATATTAATGTTTAGAAATAGCTGAATAGAATTTGACTAAAAGCACATAATACAGACAGTTTTGAATGGTCTTTGTTTGATATTTTTAAAAAATTAATTCCAGGGGCGCCTGGGTGGCTGTCGTTAAGCGTCTGCCTTCGGCTCAGGTCATGATCCCAGGGTCCTGGGATCAAGCCCCGCATTGGGCTCCCTGCTGAGTGGGAGGCCTGCTTCTCCCTCTCCCACTCCCCTTGCTGTGTTCCCTCTCTCGCTGTGTCTCTGTGAAATAAATAAAACCTTTAAAAAAAAAAAAAAATTCCAGTCATAAGTGTTGTATATTAGTTTTCCTAGAAAATAACAAGCATAATCAGGATGCCATATTTGAAAATGGACTTGTTTGATAAAGAAATGCCACCTTTGGTAATTGCAATGTTGGGTTTTTTTTAATGTAATATTTGATGTTTTTCGGGTAAGCTCTTCTAACATCCCCATTTTTCTTTTACTCTGGGTCTTTTATTATTACATGTTGTATAATCACAGACTCAGATAGAAAAATTACATAGTGTGAACAACGTAGATGTTTGGAGGTAGAGCTGACTCTTCTAGATTTGAAATGTGAGGTCAGATATAAAGATAAGTTCGGAAGTGACGAGACAGAAAGGAGTGAGGTAATGACTTTTTTTTAACTGCATATTTGTCGTCACTTTCCACTGTACAACCCCGTGCCACTTATCACACCAATACACACACTTGTCCAGGAGGGAGATGGGAAAAGATCAAGCCACTTAACTTGATTTTCTTGTATTTACCCTGATTAGAGAGTCCTTTGTACATATCTGTAATATAGCATAAGTAGATAAAGAACTCCTCAATAAAATCATTTCAAAATATCTTTTCTTTTGAGTTTTTAGATTTTTTTTTTTGCCATATATTGAAAAGCATAGTGTCCTATGTTTGAATTATTTCTTGTATTAATTTGTAATTTAGCATCTGTTAATATCTATGAGGAGCCCCCAGTAGGGGGCACTCAAGACTAATGGGTTGCATTGTTTTTAAGTTTCGTTTTGTTTGTTGAATAGAAATAGCTTTATCTTTTCTGATTAAAAAAGTAATCTAAACAGTAACATGGAATACTATGCAGTGTTTAAGAAGAGTAACGTAAATATACATGTACTAACACAGAACAAGATATGTCCAGATATATGATTAAGTGAAAAGATTCAAGTCACATAATAATATATTTTATGTGATCCCATTTCTGAGAAAAATAAAAATTATATATGTGCATTTATACTTTTATATATCAACAAAAAGATCTGAAAGGATCAAAATGTTCATAATGACTACTTATAGAAATAGGATTTTGTGGGGTTGAGGGCATACTTTTCCCTCTTTATAAATTCTTCTTTGCTTGATTTTTTAAATTTCCCAGTTACCATGTATAGAAGCATTTAGGACTTTTGATAATAAATACATTTCACAATTTTATATATACTTTCTGTAAAAGAAGTTCTAAACAATCAAAAGTGTAGAAAGTGAAGTATCTGTTACCCAGAGATAATTATTCTTGAGTTTGGTGTACCTATTTTTCCAAACTTACTAAGTTTTTTAAGTTTTTATTTTTATTTTAAAGTAATCTGTACACCCAACATGGGGCTTGAACTCAACAACCCTGAGATCAAGAGTTGCATGCTCTACCGAGTCAGCCAGGCACCCCTATATACACATATTTTTTTTTTAAGATTTTTTTCTTTTTTTTTTTTAAAGATTTTATTTATTTGACAGAGAGAGACACAGCGGGAGAGGGAACACAAGCAGGGGGAGTGGGAGAGAGAGAAGCAGGCTTCCTGCCGAGCAGGGAGCCCAATGCGGGGCTCGATCCCAGGACCCTGGGATCATGACCTGAGCCGAAGGCAGACTCTTAACTGACTGAGCCACCCAGGTGCCCCTCTTTTTTTTTTTTTTTTTTTTTTTTTTTAAGATTTTATCTACTTATTTGACAGAAAGACAGCGAGAGAGGGAACACAAGCGGGGGGAATGGGAAAGGGAGAAGCAGGCTTCCTGCTGAGGAGGGAGCCCAATGCGGGGCTCGATCCCAGGACCCTGAGATCATGACTTGAACCAAAGGCAGACGCTTAACCGACTGAGCCTGAGCCACCCAGGCGCCCCATATTTTTTTAAAGATCATACTCAGGGGCGCCTGGGTGGCTCAGTCATTAAGTGTCTGCCTTTGGCTCAGGTCATGATCCCAGGGTCCTGGGATCGAGCTCTGCATCGGGCTCTCTGCTCAGCAGGGGAGCCTGCTTCCCTCTCCCACTCCCCCTGCTTGTGTTCCCTCTCTAGCTGTCTCTCTCTGTCAAATAAATAAAAATAAAATATTAAAAAAAAAAATAGGGCTCCTGGGTGGCTCAGTCGTTAAGCGTCTGCCTTCGGCTTGGGTCATGATCCCAGGGTCCTGGGATTGAGCCCCGCATCGGGCTCCCTGCTCTGCTGGAAACCTGCTTCTCCTTCTCCCACTCCCCCTGCTTGTGTTCCCTCTCTTGCTGTGTCTCTCTCTGTCAAATAAATAAATAAAATTTTTAAAAATAAATAAGTAAAATTAAAAAAAATTAAAGATCATATTCATGCTATTATACAAAACAGTTGTTTTTCACTAATATATTGTGAGCATTTTTCCATACAGCTTATATAGTGTTCCATTGTATGATTATAGCATAGTTTTGTTTTGTTTGTTTTTTAAAGATTTTATTGTCAGAGAGAGAGAGCGAGAGAGAGAGCATGAGCAGGAGGGGAGGAAGAGGAACAGGAGAAACAGACTTCCCGCTGAGCAGGGAGCCTGTTGCGGGACTCGATCCCACGACCCTGGGATCATGCCCTGAGCCGAAGGCAGACGCCTAACTGACTGAGCCACCCAGGTGTCCCAATATAGCATAGGTTTGTTGTTGTTTTTTTTAATTTATTTACTTTTATTAACATATAAAGTATTATTTGTTTCAGGGGTACAGGTCTGTGATTCATCAGTCTTACACAATTCATAGTGCTCACCATAGCATATACCCTCCCCAGTGTCCATCACCCAGCCACCCCATCCCTCCCACCGCCCCTCCACTCCAGCAACCCTCAGTTTGTTTCCTGAGATTAAGAGTCTCTTACAGTTTGTCTCCCTCTCTGGTTTTGTCTTGTTTCATTTTTTCCTCTCTTCCCCTATGATCCTCTGCCTTGTTTCTCAAGTTACATCATTGAGATCATATAATTGTCTTTCTCTGATTGACTTATTTCGCTTAGCATAATACCTTCTAGCTCCATCCACATCATTGCAAATGGCAGATTTCATTTTTTGATGGCTGCATAATACTCCATTGCATATATATACCACATCATCTTTATCCATTCATCTGTTGATGGACATCTGGGCTCTTTCCATAGTTTGGCTGTTGTGGACATTGCTGCTATAAACATTGGGGTGCATGTGCCCCTTTGGATCACTACATTTTTATCTTTGGGGTAAATACCCAGTAGTGCAATTGCTGGGTTATATGGTAGCCCTATTTTCAATTTTTGAGGAACCTCCATATTGTTTTCCAGAGTGGCTGCACCAGCTTGCATTCCCACCCACAGTGTAGGAGGGTTCCCCTTTCTCCGCATCCTTGCCAACATCTGTCGTTTCCTGACTTGTTAATTTTAGCCATTCTGACTGGTGTGATGTGGTATCTCATTGTGGTTTTGATTTGTATTTCCCTGATGCCAAGTGATGTTGAGCACTTTTTCATAGCATAGTTTCTTATTTTTTTATTTTTTAAAGATTTTATTTATTTATTTGAAAGAGAGAATGAGATAGAGCATGAGAGGGGAGAGGGTCAGAGGGAGAAGCAGACTCCCCATCGAGCAGGGAGCCCAACGCGGGACTTGATCCTGGGACTCCAGGATCATGACCTGAGCTGAAGGCAGTCGCTTAACCAACTGAGCCACCCAGGCGCCCCTCATGGCATAGTTTTTTAATCACCCCCCTATTGTCTTTAAAGTTGGCTTCAGTTTTTCACCATTTAAAAAACTGCAGTCGGGACGCCTGGGTGGTTCAGTTGGTTAAGCGTCTGCCTTCGGCGTGGGTCATGACCTCAGGGTTGTAGGATCGAGTCCTGCATTGGGCTCCTTGCTCAGCGGGGAGCCTGCTTCTCCCTCAGCCTGCCCCTTCCCCTGCTTGTGTTCTCTCTCTCCCCCGCCCTCCTGACGAAGAAGTAAAATCTTTAAAATAAATAAATATATAAAAATAAAAATAAAAAACTGCAGTCAGCAACTTTATATATGCCTTTTTGTCCATTTATCCAGTTATTTCTGAAAGTATTAAGTCAAAGGGATATCTCTTTTTTTATTTACTTATTTTTTGGGGGCGGATATCTCTGTTTTTAAATATTATGTTATATATTATCAAATCACTCTCAGAAACCATGTTCCAAAGTATGTTCTCTATAGAAATGAATGGGAATTCTTGTTTTTCCACATCTTTACCAACTTTGAGTCTTAAATCTTTGCCAAACTATGATAGAATCCTTTTAGAGATTCATTAATTTGATTATTAGCAGAACTGTTTTTTAACAGCTTTATTGAGATTTAATTAACAGATCATAAAATTCACCCTTTTAATGTGTACAGTTCAGTGGTTTGTAGTATATTTGCAGAGTTGTGAAACAATCACTATCTAATATTAGAACATTCCCATCACCCCAAAATGAAATCCCGTGCCCATTAGCCATCACTCTCCATTGCACCCTCTCATCAGCCCCTAAGAACCATTAGTCTGCTTTCTGTCTGTATAGGTTCATCTTTTCTGGATGGTTTATATAAATAGAATCATTCAATATATGGTCTTTTATGTCTGGCTTCTTTCACTTAGCATAATGTTTTCAAGATTCATCCATGTTGTAGCATATATCGGTATCCTTTTTATGACTGATTAACTTTGCATTTTCTCAATATATCACATTTTGTTTATTCATCAATTGAAGGACATTTGGGTAACGGAAGTATTTTTAAAGCAATGAAGTTCATAATTTAGAAGTGATTTTTTTTTATTCTTATATTAATCCCCATACATTACATCATTAGTTTTAGATGAAGTGTTCCATTATTCATTGTTTGTGCATAACACCCAGTGCTCCATGCAGAATGTGCCCTCCTCAATACCCACCAACAGGCTAATCCATCCTCCCACCCACCTCCCCTCTTGAACCCTCAGTTTGTTTTTCAGAGTCCATCGTCTCTCATGGTTCGTCTACCCCTCCGATTTCCCCCGCTTCATTCTTCCCCTCCCGCTACCTTCTTCTTTTTTTTTTCCTTAACATATATTGCATTATTTGTTTCAGAGGTACAGATCTAAGATTCAACAGTCTTGCACAATTCACAGCGCTTACCAGAGCACATACCCTCCCCAGTGTCTATCACCCAGTCACCCCATCCCTCCCACCCCACCCCCCACTCCAGCAACCCTCAGTTTGTTTCCTGCAATTATTTACTTCACTATTTTAAAGATTCATTCTTTCATATGGTAAACCCAATGTTTTTGCAGAGGGCATGTAATTCTTTTATAAGTAATTGCTAAAAGTGCAAATTCTGATTTTAGGATGTTTAACAGTTAGTAAGCCAGTACATCTATTTACATTTATATATCTTTTCTGATATCTTAGGACAGATGTTGCTAATGAATGCACAAAGCAAATCAAGATAGAGCACAGATGCCCACAGACACAGTTCAAAGCTATGGCAGCTTGATGCTAAGATGCTGAGTATCATTCCCAGGGGAAGGAGCTTGGTGATGCTGCTCTCCCTGCCTGGGTGCACTCTGCCTCTATGGCGGTTCTCTGCAAAACAAATGCTGAAAACTGTATTTGCTTTTCACTTTTTTTTCCCCCCCGTAAAAGTGAAAATCCTCTTTGGGTTTCTTATGGTTAGCAAAAACAGGTACTAACATAGGTCTTTCATACAAGTGAAGTGGCATAACAGGAACTTTTCAAAAGCAGGGGATACCTATGCTCCAAACCAGTGCTGTCTGATAGGACTTTCTGGGAAGATGAAAATGCTCAGTCTAATAACAGCAATTGCATGGCTATTGAGCACTTGAAAAATGGTTAGTGCTATTGAGGAACTGAATGTCTACATTTAATTTTAAAAAGCTGTGTGTGTGCCTAATGGTTTAGAATTGGATGGTGTGCCTCTAACCAAAAAGTGTTGGTATAAATATCCCAGTTGCTAGAGCTTAAACATTTGGTAGTCTGCAAAGGGTATTATTCTGCGTGTTGGGGATGCCAGTTAGTCATATATTTCAGTTAATTACCAATTTAAATTCCTGCTTAGCTTTTTCTAAGATGCCTGATGTGAGGTAATACATGGGGAAAACACTGTGGCACTTAAGGGAAGAGAAACTAGAAGAAAGTCATGTCATCCAGTTTGTGCCTAATTGAAATCCAGATGGAGCACAGATTTCTCCTTTGTAGACAAAAACAAAAATTTTAGGATGTTATCAGTGCAGTGGGAATAGCCAAACAGCCTTTTCTTTCTCAGTTTCCCTATGGAACTGATGCCTTTTTCAGAGTAGGTACCTTTTCTCACTGCTTTTCATAGAAGTTCTTTATCACTGTTAGCTTGCAGTAGTATCTGTCATATTTCTGGAGGGAAGATCTGTATTGGAAGAATATTTAAAATAACTCTTTCTGGAGAATTTGGGGCTGGGAGGTGTCAAATAATCTTTTACTGTATTCAGTCAGCCTTTTTTTTTTTTTTTTTAAGATTTTATTTATTTATTTGTCAGAGAGATAGAGAGCACAAGCAGGGGGAGTGGCAGGGAGAGGGAGAAGCAGGCTTCCCACAGAGCAGGGAGCCTGATGTGGGACTCGATCCCAGGACCCTGGGATCATGACCTGAGCCGAAGGCAGTCGCTTAACTGACTGAGCCACCCAGGCACCCGGTATTCAGTCAGCCTTAAACACTCTTTTTCTCTACTTTAAAATTACTGTCCTTCATTTTGAGGGGGAGGATCAGAAGGAGAAGCAGACTCCCTGCTGAGCAGGGAGCCCGATGCGGGACTCAATCCCGGGACTCCAGGGTCATGACCTGAGCTGAAGGCAGTCGCTTAACCAACTGAGCCACCCAGGCGCCCCCACACTCTTTTGATTAAATATATTCTAGAGAGGCAACAGTGGTAGCAAAAACAAAAACACCAGACTCAATCTTTCTAAGCTTCTGATTTCTCATGTGTTAAACTGGAATAATAATATCAAAAAATATTAATAATAATACCTCATTCATGGAGTTATTGTGAAGGCTAGATAAGATAATGCACATAAAACACTTAGCATAGTTTCTGGCATGTATTAAGTACTCAATAAATATTTATCACCACTATTGATATTCCTGCTGTTGGTCTGGTGGTTTCTTTTTTTTTTTTTTTTTTTTTTAAGATTTTATTTATTTATTTGACAGAACGCAGGCAGAGAAAAAGGGAGAAGCAGACTCCTGGCTGAGCAGGGAGCCCAGCACAGGGCTTGATCCCAAGACCCTGGGATCATGACCTGAGCCGAAGGCAGACGCTTAACCGACTGAGCCACCAAGGTGCCTCTGGTCTGGTGGTTTCTGTTGGCTTATCCAAAATTTAAATTATAAAAGTGAGGTTTTTCCAGTGCTCCCAGTTATGAAGTTTTTATACATGGTCTCTTTACACCTTTATGTATTTATTATCTGTTACATTTTTATTCTTTCATTTTCACAATTTTTCTTGTCTGTTAAAAATGTTTATGTTCGGGCGTCTGGGTGGCTCAGTTGGTTAAGCGACTGCCTTCAGCTCAGGTCATGATCCTGGAGTCCCAGGATCGAGTCCCGTATCGGGCTCCCTGCTCGGCGGGGAGTCTGCTTCTCCCTCTGACCCTCCCCCCTCTCCTGCTCTCTCTCTCTCATTCTCTCTCTCAAATAAATAAATAAAATCTTAAAAAAAAAAAAATAGAAAAAAATGTTTATGTTCAATAGAATCATGTTTTCAGATAACTTATGGGCAAATTAAGTTTATCAGAAAAGTTTTCATTACCTAAATAAATTTTTCTTTAAATTGTATTCAGAACACTAAAATCACAGAATTGTTTCCTTGATAATTTTGGGGAGAGATTCACCTAATTTTCTCACTTTTTTTTTTTTTTTTTTTAGGTACTTTTAACTAATCAGATGACAACGAAGATTGATAGAAATCGGGCCTTGCTGGTTCCTGCGTTGGGTGGGTAGTTAATTAGATAAGTTTTTTTTTTTTTTAAGTTTATTTATTTATTTAAGTAATCTTAACAACCAACATGGGGCTTGAATTCACGACCCCAAGATTAAGAATTACATGCTCTTCTGACCAAGCCAGACAGGCGCCCCCAGATAAGTATTTTTAACTTAACACATTTTTTCTACCTCTTTCATGTGATGCTTGTTGAGTACTGTGAGCACCATGAAAGCAGAGATTGTATGTGATTATTCACTGATAAGTCTTAGTATGGAGCACAGTGCCTTTAGATACCCACTCATCCTTTCAGTTATTTGACAACCATTTATTGAGCATCTACTATGTGGCAACTATTGTCTCAGGCACCAAGCATATAAATATTAAGATGACTCTTGCCCTCAGAAAGTCTTAGGCAGGAGGAAGGGTGAATCTGTTTAAATACAGATCACACTACAATGAATAGACTTATAACTCTTTCTAACCTCAGTCATGGTTTTGTTAGGACACAATGCTTTGAGATTTTTCTTTTACTAAATTCTTTAAGAATATTCTGTCAGAGTTTTTGCTTTTCTTCTGGTAGCCAGAAATATGTTAGTAGGTCTGACGATATGGAAGATTGATAAAATGTTGGCTCAAACTATAAAGTTTTCTGAAAGCAAATCAAGGATAATGATCCTCAATATTTCCACAGATAGGTAAAAATCTGTTAACAATCTCAGGATGTTACCCATATGTACAAGGGGTTTTGAAAGTATAAGTATATTCTGGGAGGTTATGTGCTATGGTGAGCACTATGAATTGTGTAAGACTGATGAATCACAGACCCGTACCTCTGAAACAAATAATACATTATATGTTAAAAAAGAAAAAGAAGAAGATAGCAGGAAGGGAAAAATGAAGGGGCGAAATCAGAGGGGGAGACGAACCATGAGAGACTATGGACTCTGAGAAACAAACTGAGAGTTCTAGAGGGGAGGGGAGTGGGAGGATGGGTTAGCCTGGTGATGGGTATTAAAGAGGGCACGTACTGCATGGAGCACTGGGTGTTATACGCAAACAATGAGTCATGGAACACTACATCAAAAACTAATGATGTAATGTATGGTGATCAAATCCAGGTGGCCTTTCCTACATCCTGCATTTTCCCCAATATACAGTCACCCTGTAAATACCAATCCCACTCCTGCTCCAGCATCTCTTGGTTGGGCTCCTACGTATAGACATCAGGTATGGACCTCTTAGTTGGTCCAAGTAACATGCCAGGTATTTTTCTTACACTGGAATATATAAAACTACACAGAGAACGTGGGGGAAAAAAAAAAGTATAAGGATATTCTCGTATTAGGTAAAGTAAAACTGTTTTGGTCAGAGGCATTCTGAGAGACTTAAAGCCTTGTCAGTAAGGCAGTATACAGTTGTTCTGTTCTTGTTCCCACCAGGGGAGAGTTGGGGACATGCTGCTACAATACGGCTAATCTTTCATTGGGACCAAAAGCAAAGGTCAGTATAGAAACAAGTTAATAATTCTGCATATTGGGTAAATTACACTGAACAGTTATATTTTCTTAGATCTACTCCAGTGGATGAAATCTACAGTGCCTCATGAATGAAAGCTTTTGTTGCCTTGTCCTCCATCACCAAGAGAAAACATAGAAACATGTTGTTAAACTGCACATTTAGCTAACATAGGAAGTTCTTTGGAATATTTAAACGATGGGGTGCACCTGAAATGAGTAGGGGGCCAAGGAATGCTACCTTCTAAAGCTCTTTGAAATCAAGTACCATTCATTAGCCTTGAAGAAGGAGGTGGGTACTCTGTGTTCCTAGAAGGGATTGAAAAAAGAATGAAATCAGGACAAAAGGAAAACTTCTTGAGGTTAGCTTCAGGACTAATTTATGTGGAAAATAGGATGGCTTTTCTTAGTTGCTTAATATATTTCTTGTATGAAATTATGTCTATTTTTGTTTTCTTTTGCATTTTGCTATCCTCCTTTTGTTATCCAGTTACCTGCCTTTCACAAGTATTGTTCTTTAAAATAAAACTAAGACAGCATGAAACCTTTGTATTTGTTTTTAAAGCTGCTGAGCAAGTGAACAAACCAGCTTTCATTCTTTTTAAAATAGGTAAATGAAAGCTGTGGACTCTTTTATTCTACACTTCTAGAAATGTCAGATTTATGCCAGCCCCTCTGCTTTGAGATTAATTTGTATAACTGAAAGAACTTGGTTTGGAAATGCTTTAATGAAAGGGGGAAATTGAGAAAGTGTGTGGGCAAAGATGGAATAAAGCGTTGCTTAAATATATATCAGGTCTGGTCAGTGATATTATCTTAGTTCTTTACCTACATTTTATTTGTTCTTCTCCAAACTGAAAAAAATCATGCCTGACCAAATTGGGTTTTACTTATTCTGAGCTCATAGCAGAATTTATTACACTTACATACATCTTTTTAAACTAATTCATGTTGTTTGTATCTCTTTTAAAAATAGCATTTCCTTGGGACGCCTGGGTGTCTCAGTCAGTTGAGTGTCTGCCTTCAGCTAGGGTCATGGTCCTGGGGTCCTGGGATTGAGCCCTGCATCGGGCTCTTTGCTTGGCAGGGAGCCTGCTTCTCCCTCTCCCTCTGTCTACCACTCTGCCTGCTTATGCATGCACTCTCTCTCTCTCTCAAATAAATAAATCTTTAAAAAAAAATAGCATTTCCAAAGAGCTCAGGTAACTTTTTCCTTTCATAACACATAGTACTTTACGATTGACTTCCATCCCCCAGTTCTCTAAATAAGTCATTGTATTCTGGATCACAAAAGGAATTCTTTCCTCAGCAATACACCCCATTGTAAAGATTTGACAACAGTTATCCATATGAGAATCTTTTGAACATATTGCTCATACTTTCCCGGATTTAGGTTTTCTGTAAAGTGTTCAAATGCTTTTAGGGATTCTCCTTGAACTAGTATATAGTAGTAGTCGTCCACTCTTATTCTACTATTAAATATTCACTAATAGAATACATCTAAAAAAATAAGAAAAATAATATGAACAAAGCAAGATATTTCATCTTTTTTTTTTTTTAAGATTTTATTTATTTGGCAGAGAGAGACACAGCAAGAGAGGGAACACAAGCATGGGGAGTGGGAGAGGGAGAAGAAGGCTTCCTGCTGATCAGGGAGCCTGATGCGGGGCTCGATCCCAGGACCCTGGGACCATGACCTGAGCCAAAGGCAGACGCTTAACAACTGAGCCACTCAGGCACCCCAAGATATTTCATCTTTTAATGCATTCATCAGAAGGAGATGTTTGCGGGGCCCCTGGGTGGCTCAGTTGGTTAAGCGGCTGCCTTCGGCTCAGGTCATGATCCTGGGGTCCTGGGATCGAGCCCCACGTCCAGCTCCCTGCTCAGCAGAGATCCCGCTTCTCCCTCTCCCTCTGCCTGCCACTCTGCCTACTTGTGCTCTCTCTTTCTCTGTCAAATAAATAAATAAAATCTTAAAAAAAAAAAAAAAAAGATGTTTGCCTTCTTTGTCAAATTCTAGAAGTTAGCATTGGTTAGGTACCCGTGAGATCAGAAAATAATGCTTATTTTTTAGAGTTAATCATTTTATGACTTTCAGCTTCTTATTCATCCTTTCCAAGAAATTGGAGAATGGTGTTGAACACTGACATTGCAGTAGATAGATTTTTTTTTAAGATTTTATTTATTTAGGGGCGCCTGGGTGGCTCAGTTGTTAAGCGTCTGCCTTCGGCTCAGGTCATGATCTCGGGGTCCTGGGATCGAGCCACACATTGGGCTCCCTGCTCAGTGGGAAGCCTGCTTCTCCCACTCCCCCTGCTTGTGTTCCCTCTCTCGCTGTTTCTCTCTCTGTCAAATAAATAAATAAAATCTTAAAAAAAAAAAAAGAATGACTTAAAAAAAAAGATTTTATTTATTTTTTTCTTGAGAGAGAGCAAGAGAGAGCACGAATGGGGAGGAGAGGGAGAGGCAGGCTTCCTGCAAATGGGGAGCCCAATTCAGGGCTCCATCCCAGGACCCTGGGATCAGGGTCTAAAGGCAGACACTTAACCAACTGAGCCACCTGGGTGCCCTGAATTAGATAGATTTAGGGGAACTCTGTACCATAAGTTTTTTTATATCCCATACTATCATTTTTAGGACTGCTTGCTTTTGATAGGTATTTAACTGGGCAGTTTATATACAATATTTCATATATTCCCTTTAATAACTCTTTGAAGGATCTACACCTACATAGAAGTGAGAAGTCCAAGGCTGCCCAGAAAGATTAAGAGTAATTCATAGCTACCATTTATTGAATTTTTATTAACTGTCCTTTATTGTGCTAAGCATTGTGTGTGTGTGTGTGTGTATTAGTATTTCATTTTATTTTCTAAATAACTCTATGAAATAAATAGTGGTATCCAAATTTTATAGCTGACTCTATAATAGAGTCTGTTTCTTTTCCTATAATTGCTGTTTCTACAATGTAATTATAGTATTGTGTTGATTGCCAGCAGATCTGAAAGTATAGCTCTTATCCTCCTTTTTAGATAAAATCCTTTTTTTCCAGACTTTTTTTTTCCCCCAGGCTGGGGATATATGATAAGTAATATGCATACTTTATTATATCAAAATAAATTGACTTCATTTAAGAGAATTAAAATAGTTCTTTATTGTTTGAAACCAGTTATCTTTTTTTTTTTAAAGATTTTATTTATTAATTTGACAGAGAGAGACAGCAAGAGAGGGAACACAAGCAAGGGGAGTGGGAGAGGGAGAAGCAGGCTTCCCATGGAGCAGGGAGCCCGATGTGGGGCTCGATCCCAGCACCCTGGGATTATGACCTGAGCCGAAGGCAGACGCTTAACGACTGAGCCACCAGGCGCCCCTGAAACCAGTTATCTTAAAAAAAGAAAAGAAACCAGTTATCTTTTAAGTCATTAAAGTTCCATGAAATCTTGTGTTTTAAAATTTAGTTTATCTTGAAAGGACAAAAACAAATTCACAGTGGGGAAAAATAATTATAAAAATGAACACTTCCAGTTTGAGCAGAAAACTAAAAACCTTGACTAGCCAAATCTATATTGAGAATTGAACCTAAGTGTCCCATCTTATACTCTAGTCCCCATCTTTCACCAGAAACGCCTGACTTTACCCTTTGACTAATAATGAAATGACATTCCAACAGTAATTCAAATAAGTACTTTTGTCTCTGTCCTGTATATTGTGCGGGTTTTCCTCTAGTTTGCATATTCATGATAATATGAGGCTGAGATTGTTCAGAATTATATCACTCTTTGCCAAGAAGATCTGGTGGTAGAATGGAGTAATATATCAACACCCCCACACAGTGTTTCATATGTGTGCTCAGCTTTAGAGCACAAATTGTGCTTCTGTCTTATTTCTTCCTGACCCAAACTGTGTAGTTCAGCCATATGTTAAGCTTCATCTCGGCTGGGGACATGAGCCAAGTGATTCTTTGGTTTAGTTTGTTATTTAAAAAGATCTCTTGAGATGCAGATATGAGATATAAAATTCTTTTATTTTTACTTAGGAATTTGAGGAAAATTTTCATTCTGAATATTTAATGCCCACTTGACTTTAGGATTTTTATTTTTTTTATTATTATTATTTTTAAAGATTTTATTTATTTATTTGACAGAGAGAGACACAGCGAGAGAGGGAACACAAGCAGGGGGAGTGGGAGAGGGAGAAGCAGGCTCCCCGTGGAGCAGGGAGCCCGACGTGGGGCTCGATCCCAGGACCCTGGGATGATGACCCAAGCCGAAGGCAGACGCTTAATGACTGAGCCACCCAGGCGCCCCAAGGATTTTTAATAAACATGTAAAAGCTTCTAAAAGCTTACTTTTTTTTTTTTAGATTTTATTTATTTATTTGACAGAGAGCACAAGCAGGGGGAGCAGCAGGCGGAGGGAGAGGGAGAAGCAGGGAGCCCGATGCGGGGCTTGATCTCAGGACCCTGGGATCATGACCCAAGCCGAAGGCAGATGCCAAACGACTGAGGCACTTGGGTGCCCCAAAAGCTTATTTACTTTTTAATAATTTTCTCAGAAAATTCAGATGTATTGGGTATCTTTTTGGACATATGGTGATATGAGGTAATTTAGATACTAATTTTTCAGAAGGTTAGCTAATATTTGTTTTATTGAATCAAAAAGAGTTTTTTTTTTAATAAGGCAGGTTAAAATACACCATGCCTCTATTTTTCTGTTATTTATATATATATATGTATATTTCTTTAACTTTTATTTATTAAAAAAAATTTTTTTTTAATCTCTGGGCCCAAAGTGGGACTCCAGCTTACAACCTGGAGATCAAGAGTCCCATCTTCTACCAACTGAGCCAGCCAAGTGCCCCAATATTTGTTATATTTTGTATTAAAGATAGAATTATCAACCCTAAGGCATTATAAAAATTTATAATCTCTGTCCCTAACACAACTATTCTTATATTACATATTAAATTTTTGCCTACAATTGCAATTACAGAATATATGACATTTTGGATTCTGCTGTTTTTGTCCTAAAAGTACAAACCTAAACCAGTAAGCTAATGGACTGTGATCTCTGATTGCTTCTCTTTTGTCTTTTGAAGATTGATTTATTCATTTGAGAGAGAGAGTGTGCATGCGCCAGGAGGAAAGGGCAGAGGGAGAAGGAAAGGGAGAGAGTCTCAAGCAGGCTCAGCGCTCAGTGAGGCTTGATCCCAGGACCATGAGAACATGACCTGAGCCGAAATCAGCAGTCAGATGCTTAACCAACTGCACCACCCAGGCACCCCTGATTGCTTCTCTTTTGAATTGTTTCTGAATGGAGGGGCAATTTCAAACTTTGAAGAGTAACAGATCATAAACCAAGATGTCCTTTTTGAATTGTCTTTGAAAACGAATCAGACACTACTCCCGCCTCTGTCGTGGAGCAGCCTTCTGGGGCCTCCTCTGCAAATGGGCTCCTTGGCCTGGCATCCTGGTCCCCCATGATCACCTGCCGAGGCCCACGAGGGGTTACTGCCAAGGTTTCCACCAGCCCATAAGTGACAGCATGGCAGCCATCTCCTCCAGCAGCTTGCTCGTGGCTACCTCTGTCTATTTCCAGTGTGTCCTGGGTTCCACTTTGGGTAACAGCTCCTGTGCAAGTGCAGCCATACCTCACCACCCTGGTCTCCCCAAGGCTGACTCGGGTCACTGGTGGGCAAGGTTCTTTCTCAGGAGGTCCGCTCTCCCATTCATGGCTACAGTGTTGGAGTCCCCAGAATGCTCAGAATCTCCTCAGGCCCCCAACAGCATGATCACCTGTGACTTGGCTCTGGAAGCCATGAGGAAGCAACCAGGTGGCCAGCCTGGCAAAGTCAACACTGGGCCCCAATCCTGAGTGGCCACCACCAGCCACCAGGCTCATTCAGGAGGTGGTGGGCTCATCAGAGCTCTTCTCCTCCCCTCCTGGTAGACTAGACAGGCTGCAGCAAGCAGAAGCAGTTGGGTTCTTCTATATCAAAACAGCAAAACACCAAAAGGGAAGCTGAGAGAACCCCACTGTTTACTCTCCAAGCCACACTCAAGCCTTCCTGACATCCTGTAACCATGTGCCTTGAACCAAGTAGAAGATAAACTCCAGAGGCGCCTGGGTGGCTCAGTCGTTAAGCGTCTGCCTTCGGCTCAGGTCATGGGCCCGGGGTCCTGGGATTGAGCCCTGCATTGGGCTCCCTGCTCCGCGGGGAGCCTGCTTCTCCCTCTCCCTCTCCCTCTGCCTTCCCCCTGCTTGTGCGCACTCTCTCTGTCTCTCTCATATAAATAAATAAAATCTTTTTTAAAAAAAGAAAATAAAACTCCAAGCAGCCAGTAAAAAAGAAAGAAATGAACATTACATTGTATGTAAATAAGTGATCCTGTTAACTCTGAGAGTTTATGATTTTTCTCTAAGTTAGAATCTGCATTTTGGGGGCGCCTGGGTGGCTCAGTTGGTTAAGCGACTGCCTTCAGCTCAGGTCATGATCCCAGGGTCCTGGGATCGAGTCCCGCATCGGGCTCCCTGCTCTGCGGGGAGCCTGCTTCTCCCTCTCCCACTCCCCCTGCTTGTGTTCCCTCTCTCGCTGTGTCTCTCTCTGTCAAATAAATAAATAAAATCTTTAAAAAAAAAAAAAAGAATCTGCATTTTGTGCAGTTATGTCAAATCTTTTTTTGGGGGAGAGGGATACGGTATTTTTTAAAATTTAAATTCAATTAGCCATCATAAAGTACATCATTAGTTTCAGGTGTAGTGTTCAACAGTCCATCAGTTGCATATAACACCCAGTGCTCATCACATATATCAATTTTTTAAAAGTGGCAAATTGTGGGGTGCCTGGCTGGCTCAGTCAGTAGATCATGCAACTTTTGATCTTGGGGTTCTGAGTTCAAGCCCCACGTTGGGTATAGAGCCTACTTAAAAATTTTTTTAAATTAAATTTTGGTAAATTGTACATATCCTAAAGTGTATCACTTTAATCGTTTAAGCGTAGTTTGATGACATGAAGTACATTCACATTATTGTGCAGTCATCGCCACCATCCATCTCCAGAACTTTTGCATCTTCCCCAACTGAAACTGTTCCCATTAAACACTAACTCCTATTCTTCCCTCCCCCCAGCCTATGGCAACCACCATTCTACCTTCTGTCTCTGACTTTGACTACTCTAGGCACCTCATATAAGTGGAACGATACAATATTTGTCCTGTTGTGCCTGGCCTTTTTTCACTTAGCATAGTTTTCAGTGTTCACTGTTAGATGTGACAAGAACTTCCCTTTTTTTTTTTTTTAAAGATTTTATTTATTTATTTATTTGGCAGAGAGAGAGTGAGTGCAAGTACAAGTAGGCAGAGCAGCAGGCAGGAGAGGGAGAAGCAGGCTCCCCATTGAGCAGAGAGCTGGATGCGGGCTCGATCCCAGGACCCCGGGACCATGACCTGAACCGAAGGCAGATGCCTAACCAACTGAGCCACCCAGGCGCCCCAAGAACTTCCCTTTTTAAGACTAAATAATATTCCGTTATATGTATAAACTACATTTTGTTGGGGTGCCTGGGTGGCTCAGATAGTTAAGCGTCTGCCTTCAGCTCAGGTCATGATCCCGGGGTCCTGGGATCAAGCCCCGCATCGGGCTCCCTGCTGAGCGGGGAGCCTACTTCTCCCTCTCCCTCTGACTGCAGCTCCCCCTGCTTGTACTCTCTGTCAAATCAAAAATCAAAAATCTTTAAAAAACAAAAACCAAAACCATTACATTTTGTTTATCCATCTGTCAGACACTTGGGTTGCTTCTGTCTTGACTATTGTGAATAAGTTATATCAGTTTTAAAGTAATTTTGAAAGCACTTTAGAAGTTTTTCTTAGGGTGCCTGGGTGGCTCAGTCGTTAAGCGTCTGCCTTTGGCTCAGGTCATGATCCCAGGATCCTGGGATCGAGTCCCACATCAGGCTCCCTGCTTGGCGGGAAGCCTGCTTCTCCCTGTCCCACTCCCCCTCCTTGTGTTCCTGCTCTCGCTATCTCTCTCTCTGTCAAATAAATAAATAAAATCTTTTTAAAAAAATATTTTTTAAATAAAAAAATAAAAGTTTTTGCTTAGGAGGCACCTGGGTGGCTCAGTCAGTTAAGCATCCAACTCTTGGTTTCAGCTCAGGTCATGATCTCAGGGTTGTGGGATTGTGCCCCAAGTCTGGCTCCATGCTCAGTGCGGAGGTTGCTTGAGATCCTCTCCCTCTGCTCCTCCCCTTGCTCTCTCTTCCTCTCTCTCTCAAATAAGATAAATAAAATCTTAAAAAAAAAAAAGTTTTTGCGTAGGCCACCTGGCTGGCTCAGTCTGTAGAGCATAAGCCTCTTGATCTTGGGGTCATGAGTTCGAGCCCCATGTTGGACATAGAGATTACTTAATTAAAAAAAGTTTTTAAAATAAGTTAATAAAAGTTTTTGCTTATATTTGCTATTACAGTATTTGAGCAAAGTTAGTAAGAGCTTAGAATTTTATATCTAACTACTTTTCAGCTTTCAATTTTACGTTACCTTGTGGAGAACATAATAAGATTCTACCGAAACAGATCTTGTTCTGTCATGACAGTGATTCTTCCGGATATAATCATTTTGAAAGAATGTGTCTTCCTTGCTTATTTGTATTAGTGTGATAAGAGTATTGCTCATTTATATCCCAAGAAATTGTCTTTTTTTTTTTTTTTTTTTTAAAGATTTTATTTATTTGACAGAGCACAAGCAGAGGGAGAGAGAGGGAGAAGCAGGTTCCCTACTGAGCAAGGAGCCCGATATGGGACTCGATCCCAGGACCCTGGGATCATGACCTGGGCCGAAGGCAACCGCTCAACCGACTGAGCCACCCAGGCGTCCCCCAAGAAATTGTCTTAATACTTCTATCATACCACACAAAAAGTACACAATTACTGCAGAAAGTTGGAAAAACATAAAAAAACCAATCTTTATCTTGTAATAACAACTTTTTGATTGTAGTCTTCTAGTTTTTTCTATATATGTGCATTTACATACTCATAAATGTGATTCATAGAGCATAACTTTTACTTAAATATTTTATCTCATTAAATATTTTTTCCACATTATCTTCTTAAGCATCAGTAGTATTTTGTCATGTAGAAATTTATTTGAATTACTCATTGGATGTTTAGGTTGCTTTAAAATTCCACTTATATAGGGGCGCCTGGGTGGCTCAGTCGTTAAGCATCTGCCTTCGGCTCAGGTCCTGACCCCAGGGTCCTGGGATCGAGCCCCGCATCGGGCTCCCTGCTCAGCAGGAAGCCTGCTTCTCCCTCTCCCACTCCCCCTGCTTGTGTTCCCTCTCTTCGCTGTGTCTCTCTCTGTCAAATAAATAAAATCTTTAAAAATAAATAAAATTCCACTTATATAAACAACTCATTATATGTAATAATTATTATACATACAAATAGCTATTGATTAAAGGAGTCTTTTTGATATTTCTTTGCTTTCTGTGTCCTTAGGGAACAAAACAATAGAATTGTAGTGAAAAACTATAAATTTAAATTATTAAGTCAGTCATCTGAACTAATGAAGATCATGTGTTTGTATATATTTATTTTTCTCTAAGCAGGTTGGCAACATTGTACAAATCACCAAGCCAGAAGGAATCTACAGTACTGTTTCAAATCACAGTCAGTATTATTTGATTAGAGTGGGGTTTTGGTGTTGGTGGGCAGTAATTATCTGAAGAGAGCATTTACAAATTGCTTCTGTTAACTTCTGTAGGCAGCAAGCATATTTGAGGACAGCTTTTGATGCTTAGAACATTATCCCCAAAATAGTAGTATATATACAGAATATTCTGGTGACAATTGGACTGAAATTTATTCTTAAGAACAGAGGAAATACTTTATTTGTAGGCTAATGTGTTCCATGCCATATGTAATGTCAGGATATTAAAATTTTTTAAAGTGAAAGTTGTTCAAGATTTTCCAAGAAAAAATACTAACATTACTCATTTTAGTCTGTAGATATTATAGATCTATCATAGCCACCAAATATATCCTGCTTTAAAATGTTAATTTTCCTATAATTTAAAATCATAGAACACTTTTTTGGCTGAAATATGCATATTTATCAGTAGTGTTGAGCCAAATATATTCTTGGCATTTCATTTTTTAAGGACAAAAACAGAAATAGAGATTCTGAAACTGAATTATCGACTTGGTCTTTGTACTGCTTAGGTGCATTTAAAGTATCCTAATTGGAAAACTAAATTTAGAGTATTGTGAAAATAAATTTGTAAAGCATCTAAGTAATTAGTACATGTTACTTCCTTTTACTCTTCAATAGAGTCACCGTAAAGTTTGTTAAGATTTTTAGAGTGCATTTTTATAATGCACTGGTATTTCTGTTGTGTATATATAAACAATATGTAAATAAATGAATACAGATATAAAATACTCTAGATATGAAATACGCTAGTACAGCTTTGGCTTGGACACCTTTTCAGGAGGTTTAACCTCCTCATTCGCAGTGGTTAATAACTTCTGTCTCAAGAATAAAGTAGCTCTTTTATCAATTACTTAAAAATATTTGGAAAACTAATCGTTATTTTAGTTGTTCTTAAACCATACTTGTATATTTTTTCATCTTCCAGCCTCAGGGATTTAGAGATGCTGTTGTTGCTACTGCATCTTCTTTGCAAACAGAAGGTTCGTTGAATTCCCGGAAACGGTCACGAGAATCAGAGGAAGAACAGGAGTCCAAAGACTAGTCTTAAAGTATACATATATGTTGATGCTGTGAGATGTGATACATACAAGCAGTAGACTCTTTACTTTAAAATATAAACACACACTATGGCACATATGAATCAAGAGCGTATGAAGTGAAGTGAAAAACACGGAATGAGTATGATTCTCTGAATTTTTCTAAAGCAGCTCTACAATTATATTTTGCCCTGTTTTCATTTTTAGTAACAGTCAGCAGAGATGATACAGGTATTGTATTTTTGCAAATGTGGAAAGCTGATCTCGTGTGACCAATCTGAATTTACCATTCAGGCTGTTTTTTCCTCTTTTCTTTGTTAATTGCCTAGAAAATCCTAGGAAGAAGAGTTTGGTTTTTTTTCACATTCCTATTGGGTTCTCCTCTTTAAATGTAGTTTTGATAATTCTTAAGAATGACTTGTTTTTGAGCCATCTCTTACTTGGCATCATGGCTGCCCTCAGACCTCTATTGAAGCCCAATACCATTAAAAAGAGAATCAAGAAGTTCATCCAGCACCTGTCAGACCCATATGTCAAAATTAAGCACAACTGGCAGAAACCCAGAGTCATGGACAATAGGGTGCACAGAAGATTCAAGGGCTAGATCTTGATGCCCAAAACTATTTACAGGAGCAACAAGAAAACAAAGCACATGCTGCCCTGTGGCTTCTGAAGTTCCTAGTCCACAATGTCCAGGAGCTTGAGGTGCTCCTGATGTGCAACAAATCTTACTGCGCAGAGATTGCTCACAATGTCTCCTCCAGGAACCACAAAGCCACTGGAAAGACTAACCCAGCTGGCCATCTGAGTTACCAGTGCCAATGCTACTCTGCGCAGCCAAGAAAATGAATAGACCGCTTATGTGCATGTCGTATTTGTGTTAATAAAACCATAAAACTACAAAAAAAGAAAAAGGCTTGTTTTTACTATTATAAAGAAAAGCCAGCACCATGAGTCAGCATATTATTATATTCAGTTTTAATGGTAGGATACAAATTTTAGATGACCAATCAGATTTTAGTGACCCCAATCCTAAAATCTAAGCCTTTTTTTTTTTTTTATGTTATTTTATGTTAAGGGAAGGACTTTGGAGCTGTTACCCTATCTAGAAAATGTCTAGAACGTTCATCTTCCAGAAGAGTCAAGTTGATAAACTCACAATTATTTATTTCTACATTTTTGAAACCTGGTGTGATCCATTCTAGAATTCTAGATGTATTGACATTTTCCTTTGAATAATCTTAACACTGTTTGAATAAATTAAAAATTTGGATTCTTGAGTGGTTTTAAAATCATCTAAAAATGTTTTGGCACCTGATTCTTCTTCGTACTTCTCAATTCATTCACAAAATTTACTCTGGTTCCCAATGGAAGAAAATTATTTAAATAATTCAGTATTACATACTGTGACAACCATGTTTTCCAGATTTTAGTGACAATTGGTATTTCCTATCCCAGACTGACCATTAAATTTATAAAGTTTTAAAAATACAATTATTCCATAATTGATTATATATAGAATAACCATAGTTTGCCAGGACTTTTTTGAGAATGAAAGTAGACACTGCTAACAATTACACCAGGACAGTGGACATAAATCAGGACCATCCCAGGCAAATCAGGCATATGGTCATCCAATCATATAAGACTAACTTCAAATGACTAGTGTAGGATGACTGATTGTAATTATGAGGCATATATTTTTATTATCAATTCAGTCATTATTAAAAAATTACCCATTTTATATTCTCTGCTCAGATCATAAAATCAAGAGAGTGAGGGGGTTATAAGTGATAAATATCAGTGTTACTAAGGCGCCTGGGTGGCTCAGTTGGTTAGGCGACTGCCTTCGGCTCAGGTCATGATCCTGGAGTCCCTGGATCGAGTCCCGCGTCCGGCTCCCTGCTCGACGGGGAGTCTGCTTCTCCCTCTGACCCTCCCCCCCTCTCATGTGCTTGCTCTCTCTCATTCTCTCTCTCTCAAATAAATAAATAAAATCTTTAAAAAAAAAAGTTAAAAAAAAATATCAGTGTTACTAGGCATCAGAACTGTAGGAATCTCATAAAGCGTCATAACATTGTACTTTAAAGAACTGTAGGACCTGGAATATAGACAAAGCCAAGTGTTTTTGCTTTTTGTTTGCAACTCTTCTTAGGTAAACTTTATGTAAAATAGCCTTTCAGGGCACCTGGTGGCTTAGTCTGTTAAGCGTCTGCCTTGGGCTCAGGTCATGATCCCAGGGTCCCAGGATCGATTGAGTCCCGTCTCCAGTTCCCCGCTCAGCTGGGAGTCTACCTCTCCCTCTCCTTCTGCCTGTCCCCCCCACCTTCTCTCAAATAAATAAAATCTTTAAAATAACCTTTCAAAGTTGTTGTTATTGCTAAAAAGATAATTATTTTCCTAGTTATACACTTAAATCTTGGTCCGCTTGGGCTGCAGTAACAAAGTACCATAAATTTAAGCAACAAATTTTTCTCACAGTATTAGAGGCTAGAAGTCCAAGATCGGTGTGCCAGCATTGTGTGGTTCCAGTGAATCTTGTAGACAGCCGCCTACTTACTGAGTACTCACAAGGCCTTTCCTTGGTGAATGTGCATGGAGAGAGATCTTTCTTCTTAAAAAGCCACCAGTCCTATCAGATTAGACTTCACCTTTATGACCTCATTTAACATTAATTACCTTCTAAAAGCCCTATCTCCAAATACAGTCACCCTGAGGGTTAGAGCTTCAACATGAATTTTGGGAACAGAATTCAGTTTGTAGAGATAGAGGAAATTTTGGGGCTCCTGGGTGGCTCAGTCATTAGGCATCTGCCTTCAGCTGGGGTCATGATCCCAGGGTCCTGGGATAGAGCCCCGCATCGAGCCCCCCCATCAGACTCCCTGCTCAGCGGGGAGCCTGCTTCTTCCTCACACTCTACCTGCTGCTTCCCCAACTTGTGCTCACTCTCTCTGTCAAATAAATAAAATCTTAAAAAAAAAAAAATACAGGAAATTTAAAGTCTACACACATACATTTTTTTGCACACATGAAGTTTTTAAAAAATTATATTGTTACCTGCTTTTTAAAGAGCCTAATATATCCTGTTGTGCACCACATAATTTTTCTATGATAGTTTTTAATGGTTGTGCATAATTTTAAACTTTTTGGAGTTTTAGTTATTACTATATTTTTTTAGTGTTATAAACAATGCTTCTGATAAGCATAGAAGTTCCTTTTTTAAAGAAATGATTTGTATTAATTTTCCATTGCCGCTGTAAAAAATTACCACAGATTTAGTGGCTTAAAAGAACACAAATTTATTATCTTACGGTTCTGGAGTCTGAAATCAGTTTCGCAGGGCTAAAATCAAGGTGTCAGCAAGCCTGCATTCCTTCTGTAGGGTGTAGGGAAAATCCATTTTCTTGCCTTTTCTAGCTTCTGGAGGCTGCCTGCATTCTTTGGCTCATAGCCCATCTTCAAAGACACAGTGTAGCATCTTCCAATCTCTCCGTTTCCAGTCTGTTTCAGTTGCCTTTTTCCAAATCTCTCTCCTGCCTTCCTTTTATAAGGACACTTGTGATTACATTTAGGGCTCAGTCAGATAATCCAGGATAATATCCCTATCTCAAGGCCCTTAATCACATCTGCAGAGTACTTTTGGCATGTAAATTAGCATTCACAAATTCCCGGATTAGATTGTAAGTGTTTTGGGTGAGCCATTATTTCAGCCCCTCAATTCATGTGGTAACATAATTCAAGATATGATCCTTTGGTGACAAATATACACATTAAAGTTTGGAAAGCACTGGGACAGACTTGTTGACATTTTTAACTATTCATAGATGGTCATTCCCATTTATGAACATGAAAGGGGAAAAAAGAATACGAAAAGAAATGATATATCCTTAGCTTTTTGAAAGTTTTATTTTTCAAGGACTCTTATTCTTTCTTAATTATAAAATATGTATAAGTATAAATTTTTCCCCAGTCTCTTCTGTTTTAACTCATGATGTGATGGAATATCTGTCATTCCACAATTTATACATTTGTCATCTACCGCTACCAGTAAATCAGCTAAAGTCTTATCTCCTGGCTAACCAATGATTGCATCCATCTTTCATTTTGTGGTTAGGCAGTACGGTAAATCCAAAAGATGTATATTGGCTTTTACTCCTTCTCATGCCACTGCTCTGATCACCCTTTCTGGTAATTCATTTATACGCATAGATATATTTGCACACCAAAAAAACATTTATTTCCACAATATTTGTTATGTCAATTCCATGTTTTGCAATGTCCTGGCCACAGTTAGTACAACACAGGCCATTAATAGTCTACTTTAAAAATTACTCATTCTGGGAAGAGTAAACAAATACTTGCAATTCAGAATTGCTCTGCTCTGAGAAGCCTTTTCTATGTTAATGCACTTGGAAAATAAGTTTGATTTCAAAAAAGTTATTAGAGGTATAAAATATAATAAAGTATAGAATTGAAAGCTCAGACAATCTAACTCAGGATTTTTGTTTTGTTTTCAGGTTAGAAGCTTAACATTTCAATGCAATGATTGCTAGAGGAAACCTTAGAGATAATCCCACCATATCTTTAATGCATAAATCTATAATTTTTCAAACGTGGGTAGTTTTTTAACACTAATTCTTTCCTGGTTTTACAAATAATTTATCCTTTTTTTTTAGAGAGATTTTATTTATTTATGTGAGAGAGAGAGAGAGCACAAGCAGCGTGAGTGGGAGAGGGAGAGGGAGAAGCAGGCTCCCCACTGAGCAGGCAGACACTTAAACCGCTTAACCGGCTGAGCCACCCAGGCGCCCCACAATTTATCCTTTTTTGAAGAATTTTTTTTCCCCAGAGTATTATAACTCTTAGTTTGAATTTGGGAGAATATGTAACTTAAAGCATTCATATAGTACCTTATGATTTTCAAACACTTTTACATTATTTAATTTGATTCTTGTAGCAACTCTGTAAGGTAGATGGGATAGGCTGGCATGTCTGTTTTCATTCCTTCTATCCATCCATCTAAAGCCTAACATATACACACTTAACAACTACTTGTTGAATGAATAAGTATTTCAAGTAAGATTTAGAACAAATTCTGTTTTTCCAATGGTCAGGTAAGAATACCACTGGTCATGCATAAGTTGATGTTTCTGAGCATTTTTTATTACTGTAAAATATGTATAATTTAATAGTGGTGTTGAAAATTTTGACTTTTTATTACTATTATTTTTTTAAGTAAGCTCTGCCCAATGTGAGGCTTGAACTCATGACCCTGAGACTGAGTCATGTGCTCTACTGACTGAGGCAGCCAGGTGCCCCAAAGTATTTTTTACTTTTTAAGATTGTGATAAAATAGATATAAAATTGGCTATTTTAACCATTTTTAAGTGTATAATTCAGTGGCATTAACTACATGCACAGTGTTGTATAGTTATCACCACTTCTTTTTTTTTTAAAGATTTTATTTATTTATTCATGAGAAACAGAGAGAGAGAGAGAGAGAGAGAAGTAGAGGGAGAAACAGGCTCCCAAGGAGCAGGGAGCCTGATACGGGACTCGATCCCAGGACCCTGGGATCATGACCTGAGCTGAAGGCAGACGCTTAACCATCTGAGCCACCCAGGCGCCCCCACTTTTTTTTTTTTTAAGATTTTATTTATTTACTTGACAGAGAGGGAGCACAAGCAGGCGGAGGGAGAGGGAAAAGCAGACTCCCCGCTGAGTAGGGAGCCCAACATGGGGCTCGATCCCAGGACCCTGGGACCATGACCTGAGCTGAAGGCAGATGCTTAACCGACTGAGCCACCCAGGCGCCCCTATCACCACTATTTCTAAAACTTTTCATCACACAAACAGAAACTCTGTACCCTTGAAGCAATAATTTTCTATTCTGAGCACTGCCTCCAACCCCCCCCCCCAAAACTCCTGGTAATCTCTAATCTACTGTTTCTATGAATGCACCTATTGTATGTATTTTATGTAAGTGGAATCATGCAACATTTTTCCTTTTGTGTCTGGTTTATTTCTCTTAGCATAATGTTTTCAAGGTTCATCCATGGTGTAGCATGTATAAGAACTTCATTTTTATGGCTGAACAATATTCCATTACAAGTATACACCACATTTTATTTAGTCATTCCTCTCTTGATGAACATTTGTTTGTTGTTTGTTAAGATTTATTTATTTGAGAGAGAGAGTACATGAGGGGAGGGGCAGAGGGAGAGGGAGAGAAGCCGACTCCACTGAGCTTGGAGCCCCACACAGGGTTTGATC